TGTGTATGTGTGTATATATATATATATATATATATATATATATATACTAGTTATTGTTGGTGATGGTGGTGTTGGTGCTGTTAACTCAATAATCTCAGGAGAAACAAGATGTCAGGGGATCCAAAGGGCCTTGGAGAGATGCCCAGTAGGCATAAATAATAATAACCTCACATTTAGGTAGCTTTTTATGGTTAGCCAAATGCTTTCTTCATGACTACCCTGAAAATATTATTATTCCCATTTTTTACGGATGAAAAAACTGAGAATCAGAGAGGGGAAATGTGTTGCACAGTGGTAACAGTTTCAAATCCAATTGATCCAGACTCATTATCAAGGAAGACAAAGCAAGAAGGTGCTTAAAAGACCTACTCGAGCATATGGATGGCCAGAAAAGGAAGTAGGCTAATCAGGAACCAGGAGGGAAGGATGGCAGGTGGGCACTCCAAGGGCTGCACTGGCAGCCATCGAATAGCCCATGACCCAGAGAAAGAGTCTCCCATCTCTTGGCTGAATGCCCTAGGGAGTAGCTTTGGCAGGACACAGATAAGTGCTGTGTGAGCCAAAAAGGCAAGAAGGGGTCATGATCTGCCTCAGTAAAGTGAGAGGATCATGTGTCCACTTGTGAGAGTATCCCAGAGCTCAGAGAGGAAGCTGTAGGAGGCAAAAGGCTCAAGAGAAAGATCCCATTTTTTTTTTTTACTGAATTAGAATAAAACAATAACAAAATTAGTTTGGAAGAACAAGAAGTCAAGACTATCAAAGGAGCTAATAAAAATGTAAAGGAAGGAGGTTTAGCAATACTAGATCTTAAACTGTATTATAAAGCAATAAATATCAAAACTAGCACCGGTTGAGAAATAGAAAGGTAGATCAGTGGAACAGAGTAAACATACAATTCACATTGTATTTGATGAGCATAAAGACAGGTTTTGGGGATAAAAATTCATAATTTGGTAAAAATTATTGGGAAAACTGGAAAGCAGTATGGCAAAAATTGGGCATAGGCCAACTTCTTACTCCATTTAACAAGATAAGGTTAAAATAGATACATGAACTATATATACAGAGAGATATGAGAAAAATTTTTAGAACATGGAACATATCACCTATCAGATTTATGGACAGGTGAACAATTTATAAATAAACAAGAAGCAGAGAGCAGTGTGAGGTGCAAAATGGATAATTTAAATTGCATTAAATTAAATTTTTTTGTACAAATAAAACAATGTAGCTAAGATCAGAAGGAAAGCATAAAACTGGGGAAATTATTTATAGGCAGTTTCTCAGATAAAGGTCTCATATGTCAAATATATAAAGACCTTTGTCTAATCTATAAGAAAATGAATCATTCCCCAATTAATAAATGGTCAAAGGATATGAAGAGACAGTTTTTAGATAAAGAAATCTAAACAATTTATAGTCATATGAAAATTGCTCTAAATCAATATTGATTAGGGAAATGCAGGTTAAAACAACCTGGAGGTATCATTTTACACCCATCAGATTGGCTAAAATGATCAAAGGGGAAAGCGACAAATGTTGGAGGGGATGTGGAAAAATTAGGAAACTAATTCACTGTTGGTAGAATTGTGAATTGATCCAAATGTTTTGGAGAGCAATTTAGAATTATGCCCAAAGAGTTATTAAAATGCCTATACCCTTTAACCCAGAAATACCACTATTAGGTCTATTTCCAAAGATGATTATGGAAAAAGGAAAAGAATTTGTATGTTCTAAATGAATTACAGCAGCTCTCTTTGTGGTGGCAAACAACTGGAAATCAGGGGGATGCACATCAACTGGGGTATGGCTAAACAAGTTGTGGTGTGTGATTGTGATGGAATACTACTGTGCTATCTGAAATGATGAGCTTGGGGCAGCTAGATGGTGCAGTGGATAAAGCACCAGCTTTGAAGTCAGGAGGACCTGAGTTCAAATCCGGCCTCAGACCAAACACTTGATACTTACTAGCTGTGTGACCCTGGGCAAGTCACTTAACCCCAATTGCCTAAGCAAATAAATAAAAAAAAGAAATGATGAGCTCGATAATCTTAGGAAAAACACGGGTGGGGTTGGAGGAGATAACGAAGAACAAAATGAACAGAACCAAGAGCACCTTGCAGATATGAACAGCAATATTGTTTCAAGAGCGACTTTGAGTGACTAAGTCGTTTTGACTGCTGTAAACACCCGAGTTAACTCTAGAAGACATATGAAGGAAGAGGCTATCAGCATCAGAACTGATAAATCAGTTATCAGAACTGATAAATAGAAGTACATATAGAATGTTTTTTACATACACACACACATTTGTGTCTAATGGTGGCCACCTCTAGGGTTGGGGTGGGGGGAGGAAAGGAAGAAAAAAAAGGATAAAGATAAATTTAGATGATAACTTTATTATGTATTAGAAGAAATAGCAAGTTTTACACAATAGATGCTCAGTTTCATGTACATCCTCTGGTTTTTTTCCTATTCTATTATGTTTTGGAAATGCTTGTTTTATTTCTTAAGTTCAGAATAAAATGAGTAGAACTAAAAAAAAAATGTCTCACAATCCAGTGACCCCATCCTTCCCGCTTTGCACAGTTCTGAGACTAAAGTTGGGGAACAAACCTTGGAAAATACGTCTTCCTGTTATCTGGGAGGAAATTCTAGCACCGATGACCTCACAATTGAAAGGGATGACCTGCTCCAACCTCCAATGCCCTGTGCACAAACCGTCTTTGGAAATCTTGAATTAGGATTCTGCAATTTAGCAGATCCTGGCTGGCCCTTTATCTTTCAAGGAGGAAAATGCATGGGTGAGCAGTGGTTCCAGTCCAGGCTCTGATACCTGCTACCTGTGTGACCTTGGACAAGTCACTTTACCTCCATGGTGAAGTTTCCTTATCTGCAAAATGAGGGGGCTGCACTAGATTGCTTCTAAAGTGCCTTTCAGGTAAACCTAGCATCCTATAAGTGTAACCTCTCTGGACCTTAATTTCCTCCTCTCGTAAACTAAGGGTCTTGGGCCAGACACCTCCTGAGGTCCTTTCCACCTCCAAGTCTATGATCATATTAAATTTTATTTTTTAGGCAATTGGGGTTAAGTGACTTGCCCAGGGTCACGCAATTAGTAAGTGTCAAGTGTTTAGTCTGAGGCCGGATTTGAACTCAGGTCCTCCTGACTTCAGGGCCAGTGCTCTATCCACTGTGCCACCTAGCTGCCCCCTGATCATACTAATTTTAAAACAGATAATTTTCACCTCCAAGGCACCATCCAAGGCCCAACTAATGACTTTTTGTGGGATTTGGTTGAGTGATGTGACCCTGTCATCCACTGGTAGATGCTTCCTCTGGTTGGTGAGCCTGAGTTGGAGCAGAGACACTTCCCAAGGACCTGAACAGCTGTGGGAGAAGAGGAAGGAAGATAAAGAAAATCTCACAGTTGGACCAAGAGACCCAGAGCCAGGTCTGAGACTCCCCATCCTAGCATTGAGCAGAGCAGAGACAGCAGCAAGATTTCCTGTGCTGACACGCAGCAGCCGCCATTGGTGGTATCTAGATGTGGGACCTGGGGCAGACACTGAGGATTCCCCAGGTGCACGAATATGCAGTGTGAGAGTTCTTGTTCAGTGTCTCTGTGGGTTTGACTCATAGTGCCATCCCAGCAGGCACAATAGTACAGCCCCGCATCTGCCTCTGTGACTTGGTGGATTCTGAGGCTTGCTGACAAGTCGCTCTCCCGTTTCTTGGCCTCATACCTCTCCTCACTGACCCCATCTTCATGAATGACATTGTCATTGGATGAAAGATAGAGAATCCGTTCCAGATGCCCACCGGGCTTCTGGCGGTACCAGTGAATGTAAGCGGACCCAAAAGAAGTCACATTCACTCGGCATACCAGAAAGGCGGTGTTACCACTTCTCTTAGTGTTGGATGGCATAAACTGGGTCAGTATGGGTTCCATGCTTGCACCTACAAGAGAAAAGAATCTCCTGGACCGCCAGATACCAAGAGCTCTGGTGTCCAAAAAGAATCAAAATATATAGCTGGTCACTTTGGGATGGAGTTGGACTTTGCTAGGTGGAGAGTTGAAGTTTGGGGAAGAAGATGAGGTAATGAAATGAGTCTTTAAAATCATTGTAGAATAAGCTGTCAGAAATACCTGCTGATGAATGGCCCAAAAATTCTTGTAAAGTAGTTATTAGGTACTTTAATCAATTATGCATAAAATAGTCACTGGGCTTGTGATAGCTGTATTCTTTATTTATTAAGTGTACTCCTTTGGCTTTTTTTTTTTAGGATTAAAGGAATTTTTATTTTTTTTAATTAAAATTTTTAATTTACGGAATAAAACAAACATTTGCATGGCATAGTACAGTCATTGTTTGAATGAATAAAGGATTTTGTTAGGCTAGTTTGACTTCTTGTATCTACTTAGAGAATGAAACAGAGACACCGACTTTCCAGCTAAGAGGGAACTAAAAGGGCCGTGGGTGTTTCTGTCTCTGTCTTTAGACTCAACTCAAGACTGTAGACTTAAACAAGCCTAACCAAATGCATTTATCCATTCAGATGGAGGTTTGGCAATGTCTTTCAGGGAGCCTTTAGTGCAGCCAGTGCTCTTATGGTAGAGATTGCGGCCCTGCGACCTTTGCCGGGGTCACCCGTTTGGGTAAGTGACCTCAGGTAGGACTCCAGCCCAGGGGCTCTGACTCCAAGGTCACTACATCATGCTGCATCTCTCAGAGGAAGAGATATGGTGTTGCCTTAAAAAGAAACCTCAGATTCAGTCTTTTATCCCACAGTTCAGGCTGGCTGTCTTTGCAAGGAAAGTGTCAGGTTTTTTTCCCTCACCCATTTCTTGGCCCCTCCATGAATGGATACCAAACAAATGACAAAAAGAAAGAACTCACCAATCCCAAGAAAAGCCAGGATCAGAAAGCAAACCAGTAGCACTTTGGTGGTCTCCATAATGGAGAGGGAGAAGGCCAGAAGTCATTCAACAGAAGGGAAGTGATGCCTGTGTTGGAGAGGAAGGAAATGACTCTAAGCAGAAAGTGGCTAACCAGAGACAAACTCTTTTTGGCCACAGATGCACAGCCACCCACAAGGGAAAAGGGGTCTTGCTTAATTCATTGGCAATATTCCATTGAATTCCATCCTTTCGCTGTTTACCAGCAGCACCCTTGTCCACAGGTGCCCTTCATTAGAAAAGGGTGTTCTTACAAAGAAAGTGAGCTTCTTGCAATGGTCCCTTGGTTTTCCCTGGAAATTGTAAACACAGGTATAACATCTGCCTTGGAATACCGCACATCTGGATCACAGCTCTGATGTATGTGGGATGCTTGTTTTCTTATCGCACATGGTAAGTGCCCTCATGCTCCCACTCCAAATTGCACCCCACTCACTTTACTGGAACATATCTCTTAAATGTTACCAATGATATCTCTGCTGTGAAATCCAGGGTTTTCTTCTCAGTCATCAATCTCATTGGTCTCTCTTCAGAATTTAACTCAGTTGACTCTCCTTAGATATGGGGTTAAATGGAGCAAAAATGGATCAACAAGGAGCATAAGACAAACACTAAGCTCTTAAGAGCCTAAAGATTTCATGGGAATTTAAATAATGTGCAGAAAATCAGTAGGAAGGGCTGCCCTGACAATCAGAGAAATAAACCTCTTGACACCACATTAGTGAATTGCTCTATTTTGTGGGCAAGAATAACCATGTGGGAGATCACTTGGATGGGGAGAGGGGAGAAGAGAGACAGAGGAAAGCAGCTGATGGGCTCCCATCAAGTCCATAGGGGAACAGCGAAGGGTTAGTCATTCTTCCAGGCTCTGAACAACAATGAAAGCAATGGGAAAATAGGCTCAAAAATTGAGTAGAGGGCCTGGGCTGGTGCCTCAAGATGGAGTTCTCCTCTAAGAAGTGGCTCTTTGTCGGTACCACTAAATCACATTTCAGTGGGAGAAGAGGTTTATGTCTGTGCTAAGAGACAGAGACCTTCTAGTGGGTGAGGAAGCTAGGTGGCATAGGGGAGATTCTAGGCTGGACCTGGAATCAGAAAGACTTGTATTTCAATCTGACCTCAGATACGTCCTAGCTGTGTGATCTTGGGCAAGTCACTTAACCCTGTTTGCCTCAGTTTCTCTAATTGTAAAATGATAATAATAGTAGCATTCATCTCTTAACATTATTGTGAGGAACAAATGAGATCTATGTAAAGTGCTTAGCACAGTGCTGGGCACATAGTAGGTACTATGTAAATACAAGCTATTATTATTATTATTATTATTGTTATTGTTATTATTATTGTTACTACATCTTGGGGAGATTTGTACTTTAGGAGATTACCTAAGGTTGTGCCTTCCTGGACATCATCTGCCCCAAAAGAGGCATTGTATGGATTCTCTAAAGGCAGCCAGCTCCCCGAATGTTTTAGAACAGGGGGAGTCATACAACCAGAGATTGTCTGAGACTGTCTTAAAAGTAGCAAGGCAAAGTCGGGAAGCAGGAGCAGGACTCTGGACTTCAAGCAGCAAAAGAGGTCTACCACACACATCTGCTTCCATCTGATGCTGATATTTTTAATGGGGCAAAGCAGAGAATAGGGAGGACTAGCTAAGAGCTACAGAATCAGCACCATGGAGATGGATGGAAGGAACTGAAAGGGGATAGTTCAGAAGCTTTGTCTTCATGAGACGCAGAAAGAGTAAAGAAGGAACAAGTCAAAATAGTCAATAAGCATTAGTTGTTCAATTGTCTTCAGTCACATCTGACTTTTTGTGGCCCCATTTGGGGTTTTCTTGGTGGAGATACTGCATCGGTTTGGCATTTCTTTCTTCAGCTCATTTTACAGATGAGAAAACTGAGGCAAGCAGGGTGAAGTGACTTGCCCAGGGTCATACAACTAGTAAGTGTCTGAGGTCAGATGAGTCTCAGGAAGATGAGTCTTCCTGACTCCAGGTCTGGCAGTCTACCCACTGCAACACTTAGTTGCCCCAAACATTTATTGAATACCTACTATGTTTCAGGCATTCTGCTAAGCGCTGTGGATATAAAGAAATGCCCTTCCCCCAACAAAAACAAACAAACAAGCAAACAAACAAACAAACAAAAACAACCCAGTCCCTGCTCTCAAGGAGCTCCCAGTGTAACGGGGGAGACAACAGGCAAACAATGTTCAAAGTTTAGATAAGATCAGTTGGAGATGTCTAATAGGGTAAAGTCTTCTCATTATTAAGTGGAATCAGGAAAAAGCTTCCAGGAGAAAATGAGATTTCAGCTGAGAGTTGGAGGAAGCCAGGGAAGCCAGATGCAGAGATGAAGAAGAAGAGAGTCCTAAGCATGGGGTACAGCCAGTGACAGTGCCTTGATCACAGTGTGTGTGTGTGTGTGTGTGTGTGTGTGCTTGCACGTGTAGGTGTGTTTGTGTGTATGTGTGTCTCTCTGTGTGTAGGTATGTTTGTGTGTGTGCTTGTGTGTTTCTGTGTGAAGCACAGTGGAAGGTAGAAGATGGCTGGCATGGCAGGAAGGGGCCAGGTGATCAAGGCTTTGAACACCAAGCAAAGGATTTTCTATTTGATCCCGGAGGTGTCTGCCATGACAGGACAACTCCCCCCTCCTCCTCCTCTAGGAATTCCTAGCCTTCTTTAATGATCTAGGCCAGTTATATTGTACTACAGAAGGGCCTTCATGAATTCCCTCCCACTACCAGGCCCCCCCCCCATTTAAATTAGGTTGTATTTCCTTTTTATGAGAGGCAGCTTGGAATAAGGGATAGAGAGCTGTTCTCAAAATCAGGAGGGCCCAAATTCAAGTCACATCTTTGACACATGTGACCCTGGGAAATTAATCGAAACTCCCAGTAACCCAAGAAAGCCTCTAAGACTCTAAGTTGAGAGAGGACTCTGGCCTCTATTGATAGAAGGAATTTCCTTGTCTGGGAGTTCCTGGTCCAGTCCCCGTCTCATGTTTTGGACAAATTTTTGACTTTCTTATATATGTGTCCATGTTGCTTCCTCATAAAACACACAGTCATTGAGGGGAGAGAAGTTTTTATTTTTGCATCTCTAGGACCCACACAATGCCTAGAAGGCATATTTTATTATTACTATTATTTTGGAGCTATGTTTTCATTGAGGTAGGGAACTCCCAGTAAGGAAGCCCCTCAACCAATGTAGATGAACATTTTCTGGAACCTATCTTACTAGAGAGTTACCTGGCACATGGAAAGGGAGAAGATGCTTAAGAAATGCTTGTTGATAGATGGAAACTGAGTTTTTAATATTAGAGAAATGCTTTTGAAAACAACAAATAATAATTTTGGGAGCCTCATTTCCCACAGAGAATACTAATAGAACATTTTCTTAAGGAAGTTCCTTAATTCTTTATTGTTTCAATTGCATCTGTTGTACAAAATGGGGAGAATTTATAGAATTTTCATCATTTTATCTTTTTAGCTTTGGCTCCTGAAATCATTCATTTTGCTTGGCTTTCTTCCCATGAAGCACTCTCAGTATCCCACCCCCAGCCTCCATGACCACAGATCTCCCTCCCTGCCTGCCCCCACTTCCAGCCTTGGTCATCTATAGACACATGTTCTCTTTCACTGCTGGTCATACCATTTCCCCAAGGCTAAGGGCAGTTTCTTGAAGAGAACTGTGTCTTGGGCTCCTTTCATCTTTCCCACAGCACTGGGCACACTCCACCTGAATCAATACTCATTGATTAACAAAGATAACGAACCATCACAACCATAAGTGATGAGGAGAAATAGCATCTCAGTGTTGGAAGGCACTTCCCTGGTCACTTAGTCTGAATTCTACCCAAAAAAGGATTTGAATTGGTTCAGAGACCTAAGGAATTAAGAGAGGATATTAATGTCTTCCTTCTTCATGTTTCTTTTAGTTTCTCCTGAGGGATATTGGATCCAAGTGTTAGCTTTGGTGCATGAGCTTTGGACAGGGGGCAAGACATGGAGTCAGGAATATCTGTGTTCAAAATCATCCTTAGACAGGTGCTGCTGGGATGGAAAGAGAACCTGTTCCATAGGGTGGTGAAGAGGATGAGGCAACATAATATAAAGTAAGGCTCTCTGCCAAAAAGCAGAGAGACAGAAGTTGAGAATTGGAAGGGACCTCAGAAGCTGTCTGGTCCAACCCATAAAACCATCGGAAATCTTAGAGCCCTGCAGAGATGTGAATGGTTACGATGGTGATGGAGGGAGTTTGGAACCTGTATGAGTTAGAGCAGGAATGTAGTGTGGTATAGACATGGGCCACATGGTCCTGGTAAGAAATGCAGGAAGTGTTACCGACAGGCCAAATGGGATGGGAGCCAGAAACAAGGAGGTGGCCCCCAGGGGAAGAGGATGTGGGGAGGGCCGCAAGGAGGGCAGGATTCTTGTAGGTGTTGTCACTGAGTGCTGACTGCTGTGGTCTTCCCAGCATGCACAATAGTAGGTGGCCTCATCTTCACGTGTTATGCTGCTTATTGTTAGGATTGAGGTTCCTTTGCCTTCATTCTTTTCTGCCACAAATTTCTTCCTTACCTCATGTAAGGATTTTGTTGCGGCAGCACTGGTTGAGTGGACAAAGAGCAGATGTTGCAAAGGTTGGTTTGGCTTCTGCTGGTACCAGTGTATGTACTCGTCCTTAAAGTTCTGACTGCCAGACACTTGACAAGTCACACGTGCTGTTGTGCTCAGGTCTCTAGTGATGGAGACTTGAGGCTGCTTCAGTTCAAGAGCTTCGTGTCCAACTAGAAATAAAAGAAGAGAACACAGAGACGTGAGGAGGTCCTTTGGAGAATTTCTTCTGTTTCTTACCTTATGTGAAAAGAGGGAGAAGCTAACTCACAGGC